CGCCAAGCATGTCCAATCCAAAGCCATCGAGGCTCGTCACGCGGCCTTGATAAAGCGCTGGAACCAGCTGCTCTCCAACTCTGCTGCTCGGAAGAAAAAGCTTCTGGAGGCTCAGGAGCACTTCAGAAAGGTAAAGAGGCCTGAGGACAGGCTTGTTGGTGGGGAAACAGTTCTTCTTTCCACAGTAAACCTAAAATCAAAACTTCAATGCAACTGAAGTAAAGCACTGTAACAAACCTCAGGTGATATCAGTAAATTGGATCATATCTTCTTCACTCCAGGTTGAAGACTTGTTCCTGACATTTGCCAAGAAGGCATCAGCCTTCAACAGCTGGTTTGAGAATGCGGAGGAGGATCTAACAGACCCAGTGAGGTGCAACTCTCTGGAGGAGATTCGGGCACTGCGTGAAGCCCATGAAGCCTTCCGCTCCTCACTGAGCTCAGCTCAGGCTGACTTCAACCAGCTGGCTGAGCTGGACCAGCAGATCAAGAGCTACCAAGTGGTGTCCAACCCCTACACCTGGTTCACCATGGAGGCCCTGGAAGAGACCTGGAGGAACCTGCAGAAGATCATCAAGGTCTCCACAACAAAGATTAGATACATTCTAATTCACAGATGTAGCCTGCTCATATTTTCAGTCACCTTCTTTTCTAAACTAAATTCTGCTTATACCACTAAACAGACTGGATATAAAAGCAAAACACAGTGGCAGCTGACAGGGAACACAACTTAGATTTTCTAGTCCTAGAGTTTGCTAGGAAGTATATATAAAGTAAATGCAAAAACAATGCCATGGTTGTGGTAAGGTTGTTAATCACTGTTAGATTTTGAGAGAGTGAAAGTCGTCGTCGGTGCACGTGACCTTGCTGCTGTGTGTTGTCTGGCTGTAACTGGGAATGCAGGAGCGAGAGCTGGAGCTGCAGAAGGAGCAGAGGAGGCAGGAGGAAAATGACAAGTTGCGTCAGGAGTTTGCACAGCATGCCAACGCTTTCCATCAGTGGCTACAGGAGACAAGGTAGAGGACACAGTCTCACCCACACGTCATCTGACGTGTTCATACTCTTGCACAAACATCGCATTGGAACATTCTCAAAGCCAAGGCATCAGCAGATTCACCACTCTGTACACTGGCTTGTGTTGTTTGCATTGAGCATTCTTGTTGTTACCTCATGTTAATATGTCTTTCTCTTTTTTTGTCTTTACACCCCCACCCCCCTCCGTCCTCGGCTGCTTCCTCGCTGGTGCTTGGGATTACTGTGCTAATCAGGACATATCTTCTGGATGGGTTAATATCACTTTTTCTCTTTATAGTTCAGACAGTTTGATCATGTGTGTGGGTGTAAAAGCCGAGTAGGATGTCATGATGAAACAAATCTTTCATCTCTGTGGTGGCTGGTTTTTGATGATCAAACTTATTAGGACCAGTTTAGAACCTTATGTTCTCCTTATTCCTTCTTGATGTAATGTTTATTTTTCCTGGTATATTCCCTGTTTTCCCTTCATTTTCTTGTCTGATGATTAATCTCTGGTCCTCCCTGCCCCCTCCCCTCTTTGAATAGCATAGCCTATCGACGGGTTATCTGTGTCCATCAGTACCAAGTAGCTGATGATCTTTCTGGAAGGTCAACCACTTTCAAGCCTTGCTCTGGTTTTGTTTGCTTTGTCTCAGCCACGCAGTGTGAGGGCTGTGTGACCTCACATTAGGGATGCACATTTTCAGTATGTTAACCAACCATTAACCGTTAACCGACAAGATTAAAACGCTAGGCTATTTAGACTAGATGAGTGTCTGTGACCCATTTAAAGAATACAGTAAAACCTTGGATTGCGAGTATAATTCGTTCCTGCAACGTGCTTGTAATCCACAGCACTCATATATCAAAGCAAAATTCCCCATAAGAAATAATGGAAACTCAGACGATTCGTTCCACAACCACTTATTCTTATAAGGATGATTACAGCAATACAAAATACAGTATAAAGTAAAATGTTGCATTGCATTATTGTTAAACGGATTTATAACTTGTACTGCTACAGCCTTATTTGGGTGGTGTTTTTCATGTCTCTTTTCATGGAGCTTTTTGTCACCACCCTCTGCTCCCATCATCTGCTGTCCAGGAGAGATGCAGCACATCTCAAACCCATGGAAAAGGCAGAAAAGGGCGCTGGCTCTCAAACCCATGGAAAAGGCAGAAAAGAGAAGCTTGTGAGAAGTGCCGGTACGCCAAAGAGTATAATGCACAAGTGCTGCTACTGCGTACCTGTGCGTACTGTCCCACTTCAAGTACTGAGATTAATGGAAACGCACATTGAAATCTCCGTCACAACCGCCACAGGTTAACAACCTATAGCCTAACGGTTTTGTTCATGAACAGCAACATGTCAACACACTGTGGGGTTGGTCTGTTTACTGTGAGACCCGCGGTGGAGAACACCTGGTCTGACGGTACCGTGGCCAACATGGGGAAACGTGTCTGATTAGCTTTCCACCATGCAGCCCCATGAGTTGATACGTTGGCCCTATAGCCATTATTTCAGCAGACTATTTTAAAAATGTTTTAACCATTTAACAGATACTATTAATTAGTTGGAATTCTTATTGTCAGTTAACGGTTAAACTGTTAAGGGTGTGCATCCCTACCTCATACACAAGTCTAAAAACCTGTCTGCTGTACTAACACACAACCAGTCCAACTCAAAGCACCAGGCCGCAGTCAACACCGCTTTTTGACCAGGGGACTGACCAGCTGTCACTGTTTCATCTGTGTACTTCAGGGATGGAGACTGCAAATTGTTTTCCACTGCACATATACAAACAAGTAGGATATAGTGGTGTTTTTAAGCGGATTTTAGTGAAATTTGGCCCCAGTGGGTATTTTTCTTTGATTTTGCATGTGTGCAGGGACTTAAAGGTGCACCCTTCATCTTCTGTAACAGAAAACTGACTTAACTATTCATGATCTACTAATGCCCTGCAGCTGTTTCCACTTGCAGATGTGAGGTAATTTTGCCACAATAATGACATACTACATTATGCACCCAAGAACAGGTATCATCTCCAAACACTACACTTAATTATAATCCCTAAATGTTTCTCTGGGAGCACTGGATGTTCAAGAGACTGTCAGAGTGAGTGCAGCAGTTTTCCAGAGAGCTGCTTCCCTTCTAATATCAGTGTCTGTTGGCACCAGGTCGTGTATGGTGGAAGAGTCTGGTACCCTGGAGTCCCAACTGGAGGCCACCAAGGTAGGTATCACTGTTGTAGTTCATCGCATGCTAATGCTGCTGCTGTTAGCAGGACATAAACATAGCACAACAAGTCGCTCCCAGTGGACAAGTTGTCAGGGATCTTTGTTGAATTTTGAGCCGAGGTCTGTGTGTGTGTGTGTGCGCGCGCAGCGTAAGCACCAGGAAATCCGGGCCATGCGCAGCCAGCTGAAAAAGATTGAAGACTTGGGTGCAGCCATGGAGGAAGCACTGATCTTGGACAACAAGTACACAGAGCACAGCACAGTGGGTCTGGCACAGCAGTGGGACCAACTGGACCAACTGGGAATGAGGATGCAGCACAACCTTGAGCAACAGATACAGGCCAGGTAACGTCATGTTCCAGAGTTGCTCTAGAATTCAGATACAATTTTAGGGACACTGTTGCCAAAGAGGAGAAAGCTGCAGACCAGAAAGTGAGCTGCTGCTTTAAGTTCCTGTCCCTCTGTGTCTCTCAGGAACACCACTGGAGTGACGGAGGAGGCACTAAAGGAGTTCAGCATGATGTTCAAGTAAGTGGCATAGACCGGCCTTCATCATGTCATGTCTGTTTTCATTCTGATCAGCTCACATCCTCATGTTTGCCTGTTTCTTTGTAGGCACTTTGACAAGGAGAAGTCTGGACGTCTAAACCACCAGGAGTTCAAGTCATGTCTGCGCTCGCTGGGCTACGACCTGCCCATGGTGGAAGAAGGAGAACCAGATCCTGAGTTTGAGGCCATACTCGACACAGTGGATCCTAACAGGTCTGTCACCTCTACAGGAAATTGCACTGAAAATGGCATAAACTGCAAACAGTATGGCTGTTTCTATAACACACAACTGCTGCATTGGTTGGTGTTATGGAAATCTGTGTGGTTTAGCTAATCAGACAATAGCCTAAGCACAATACCAGTATCTTGATGAAGAGGTCTCACATACACACAGCGCAAAGAGTCAGTGAGTGACAAAGGAAAGACGTAACAGTCAGGTTTTGTATGACGCTGTTCAGCTGTCACCCCACTAGCTGGAACCAATCACAATTGTGTCTTAGGTATGTGGCTTTCATAGGCATCTTTCAGATAGGTGGCTGGGCTCAGACAGATGGGCTGTTAAGGTAACAGGTTACGTGTGTGTGTGTGTGTGTGTGTGTGTGTGTGTAGGGACTGAATCTGTGTGGAGTGTTTGAGAGAACTGTGAAACACAAGGTTAAACAGCACTTACAGTTGGCTAACTGGAACCTGTGTCTGCAGGGATGGCAACGTGTCACTGCAGGAGTACATGGCGTTCATGATCAGCCGGGAGACAGAGAACGTGAAGTCCAGTGAGGAGATAGAGAGCGCTTTCCGAGCGCTCAGCACTGAGAACAAACCCTATGTGACTAAAGAAGAGCTCTACCAGGTCAGATGTGTTCACTGCTCATTCAAGTTCGGCGTCAACATCTTGGTGGACGTCTAACTGTCCCCCTCTTCTTTTCAGAACCTGACCAAGGAGCAGGCGGACTACTGCCTCTCACACATGAAGCCCTACCTCGACAGCAAGGGCCGCGAGCTACCATCAGCCTACGACTTTGTTGAATTCACCCGTTCGCTCTTCGTCAACTAATCCCTTGCCTACAAGTGACCAACTAGGACGCGTTTTTCGCACTCACACAGACACGCTTCAACACAAACATGGTTGAAACTGCATGAATGTGGCACTAGAAATACTCACCAATACCAACTATCTGTACTATCTATTTAACTCTTTGTGCTTCTCATGATAGTATTGTGGTTGTTTTAGCTTGTGCTTTCAATAAAATTTAAGAACCTAACAATAATGTTGTGACGCCATCTTACCAATCGCAATGTGCTTTAATAAACGCTACTGGTTAGAACTGGTAATGGTGCTTATCTTGTTTTATTTCACTTCCACACTTTAACAAAACACAGTTCACATACAGTACATGCAGTGGTGGTCATCTGGCCCAGGTAATCTCTCATTCTGCCACCTGATTGGCTATCTGCTCCAGCTGGCTGCTCTCTCTGGGACTCTGCTCTGTCAAGTCAGTGCTCAGCTGCCAAATGCCAACTGTCCCATTTGTACTTCCCACTGCCAAGAGATGAGGGTTCTGATAGTTGAAGGCCAAACAAGTTGCAGCTTGACCCGCACCGCCCTGCTCGATGGTGGTTGCTGGCCTCAGTGACCTACGGCCCAGGTCAAAAATCTGCACCTCACCTGGGAGGGAGAGAGAGAGAGAGAGAGACAGTGCGTAAGAAGACATTTGTTAAAGTAAAGTCACCTTCATAGATGGTACATCTGGTCAAACTGAGTCAAAGAGACAGAGTTTCTCTTCTCTCTAGTAACAAGACAGAGCAATGACACTGGTCTCTCAGGGTTCATCAAAATCTGACAAGTGACCTTGGAAATAATGTGTAATGGGCACATGAATAAATTCATCTCTAGCCTCCACTCCAATTTTACCACGGACAGCGGGTGTGACTGATCTGTTACATGTGTAAGCTATATAATTTCCACTATGAACACACACAGCTGTGATGTTGCACCTTGTCCTGTGGCTGCAGCAAACACCAGTGGTCTGGTTGGAGACCACTGCACCTGAAACGTGTAGGAGTCTGAAACCTTGAGAGAGAGCAGCGGGCTGGCCTGCAGCAGAGAGTGGAGGTGGACCAGACCGTCAGTCCCTGCACTCAGAAACAGGTTCCTGCAGACAACGACAAGTCAGGACAAAATCTGGTTATGGGTCACCTGTAACAATCACCCCTATCACCATGTGTGTGGATCTGTCACCTGTGGAAAGGGGAGCAGTGTATGGAGTGGACAGGGCCACTGCAAGGCCTGAACGAGAAGACTGCTGGGGCTCTCGGAGGCACACTCTGGCCCTCGAAGGGTGCAGCAGCTGGCGTCTTGGAGGAGAAGGAGCATCTGAGCAGCAGGCCAGCCTCAGAGCCCACCAGGAACGTATCAGAGTCCCAGGGAGACAGAGCCAGGGAGGTTACCCCCACAGTACCGCTGCCTTGCGCCTGTGGGCAACACAGGACACACAACTGTAACTGTGTCCACTCTCACATCCATACCACCAAGGTGTTTCAGAGTAGCGGCTATGTAGTGTTCAAAGGTGACAAAATACACTCACCAGCCACTTTATTAGGTACACCTGTACAATTGTATGCACCTCAATGTTAAGGTGGAAGTGTTACATTGAAGTGCATACAAGTGTACAGTTGTCCCTAATAAAGTGGCCTGTGAATGTACTGTATACTCAGACAAGTTACTGTGCACACTAAAACTACTTATTTGAGGGTATGTTGATGGACAATGTCCCACAAAGCAATGTCACAAGAAGCTGCTCACAGCTGGGGAAAACGGTATGAACTAATTGTGAATGCTCCAGGAACAGTCCCACAACATTTCTGTCTTTTTTGGCATCCTGAGTCTCACCTTGAAGCTGACACTGCTGTGGGGAACCTGCTGTTGTACCAAGACGTATGCAGCATTAAGGACCAGCCTGCCCTGGTCCAAGTCCACCATCCACAGCAGCACCCGTCCTTCTGAACTGGCACTCAGCACCCTAAACTCTCCTTTCTTCTCCAGGGGTACCCAGGCAACCTACACACACAGGACGCTGTCTTTTAATCCACCAGTCAGACTAATAAAACAATAGTGTAAAGATCAGTTTAAAGTGGCCCAGGCAAGTATTACTGCAGAGCAAACACCCCAGTGACAAATAGACATGCTCTATATAATCGCAGACAATGGGTTTTTAATATCATGAAGCACTAAACCTCTCCACCACCATCAAATGGTCCAAACATTATCAGAGCCATGCCAGTGGTGGCCCATGCTTATTAGATAATAGCAGAGAAACTGACTGTCAACTCACCTGATAAACAGGCTCCCTGTGGCTGTCTGCTGACATCCCACTTAGGGCCAGCACAGGGTCCTGAGTGCGACTGGTGTCCCAGACCACCACCTCTCCACTGTACAGACCCCCTACAACCACAGCAACACGCACACACAATGCGGTTTACACTGAGCGCTACTCTAAATCTGATTGCATGAAGGGTAAAATCAATATGGAATAATGCAAGAACCAAGTTGGAATAACGGGAGGCTATTTTCCAATCCAACCATTCTGTTGACATTTTTGGAAAAGCAGCATTAGTCATCTGGTTCAAAAGCATGAAAGTATGGAATCTGCAAACATTGCAGAAAACAATATGGAACAAAATAACTAGTGCAGCTACCACCTAAAATGATACTGAAACCTATTGGCTCAGTGCATGCTGACAGGCACACAAATCTCACTGAACTGCAGCCAGCCCCCAACCTGCTTAGCTGCATGAGAAATTACAGGATAATTTTAGCCTTACAGCAGCATATTAACCTGGACTAGATAGGCTACATCTGAAGAAAGGTTTAGTCTGCTAATGCTGACAGTTACAAATAGGTTGTAATACTTCTGAAGTCTTCAATGTTGAGATTTTTGTATTTGACTTTGCTAGCACGCAGAAACAGTCTGTTATCAGTTCATGATGTGATGGTGTACCTGCAATGAGCGTGGGCTGGTTGGGGTGGCAGCACAGAGCAGTGACTGCAGTGTGAACATCTATGATCAGATCAGCTTGTTTGGGGCTGAAGCCTCGACGAGACAGATTCCACGTACAAACATACGACCTCTCAGTGCTCCAGTGTCCATCATCAACCCTGCCCACAATAAGAGGCTAGAGTGAGGTGAAAACATCCAGCACAATCTCTGAAGTTTCAGGTTTGTTAACGTCACCACTTTCCTCCACTACACAAAAGTGAAGCCAAATTATAATACGCTGGTTGCCATCTTGGAATTCTGCAACTACAATCTGTGCAGTACCGACCAGGTGACGGCTTCAGACCGCCTATCAAAGCTGTCAAATCACCTGAAATACACTCCCTTTATATCATCTAACAACTTTTTAAAAACAAGCTTACTAGAAAAATAATCACTTGTATGCACATCAGTGTGATAATATCTACCAAAAACCACAGAAGAGACCTCTGGGGAAAATCTGTCTGATTTGTACTTTGAGTTTTTATTTTGGCTAATGTCCCATCAACTAACATGGAAGGGACGGGATTTATAACCTATACTGCAACCGGTTGCCTGGGGGCGATCGACTTGCAGTGGCTCATTTATACAGTCAATGATACATACATACACAGATTAGGTGAATTACTAACATACCGACCATATGCACAGGCAATGACTGAACCTGTACAATTCCAAGACACACTTGTTGCATGAAGCCCTCTCTCTTGAGCAGTGGGATGTTGAAGGCAGTGGAGGCACGAAACCTGCAAACATGGAACAAGAGCGTTATTTTGCAGTGCTCTCTCTGTAAACATACGTCAGGTGCCCTCCACCTCCTGATTCGTTGGTCCTTCTTACCAGCTGACTGTAATCCCAGTTCACCTGAAACCCATCAAAGGCGTGACTCCTGCTATTTCTGACCAGCTCTCTGATGACCACGTCTTCAACCCGCTGCAGAAAGTCCTTCAGGCCAGGTGGCTCTGACTCGTGGTTTTTCCAGAGGAGCTCCGTCGCCTGGTCCTGTGGCTCTGTCTGGGTGGAGCTGATGGTTGTGGACACAGCCTGGGTGTCTGTCTCAGCACTGTGCACCTCTGTGGTCTGACAGCCTCTCTGAAACACCAGTAAGTTATAAAGGTTAAATGTGGGTGAGTGCTTCAACTGTATGAAAGTGTTTGTATTATCCTCATTTATTAATGTCTAGGGTAAAAAATCTCATCCCTGTTGTCACACAACACAAACGTTGTCAGCTTTTCTCTATTTTAACTGGTTGCCAGTGTGATTTCTACATTGCCAGCACCTGTTGGTTGCTACAAGCGAGTTTCATTATAAATTAAAGGAGCATCACAGGCTGGAAATACATCTATTTGATGATTTTTAAAAGATATCAATAATTCTGTCCCGTCGATATTTGGAACTCTGTGTGGGATGGATCAGCTTTGGCTTTTTGTTCTGTTTTTGTGTGTGTGTGTGTGTGTGTTGTTCCAATGCAAACAAAAGAAATAAACACGAGCATAACCAAAGAATTATGCAGGGCTGCCAGTATTTATGGTCATGATTGTACGTAACTTACTTAAATGTTAAAGTGTTCAACAGAATGTCTTAACGAAAATATTAATATAAAAAATAATTTGTTGTATGTCATCATTAAAAGTATTTCATTTATGTAGGCTATTTTTATACAAGGAAAACTGACTGAGGAAGGTACTGCTGTTCAAGTTATTTGATTTTAATTGTAATCGACTTGCTCTGCACTTTTGCTTCTTTTTTTTTTTAACCAAAAGCAATCAGAGTGGTTAATTTGTTTACAGTAAATACACTGTCTGCTAATTTATTTTGTTACTTTTCAGTACACCACTTTCAGTATGGGACTTGGTATTTGGCACTTAATATCACTCTTGTGAGTTTGCTATCTTTAATGATTACAGCTCATAGAAGGGTAAAAATATTCTGGAGTGGCATTGATATGATGTAGGTAAACAGTTACAAATAATTAAAATTGATAATAGGAGTGTTAGACATACAGTACGTATACGAATGATCAAGTATTGACAATTAATTAATAGTACTGGTGGTGATGGAGGGCCCCCTGAAACAATTTTGCTTAGGGACCCCTAATGATTTTGGCCGGCCCTGGCACTATCTCTACTCAGTGTTGCACTTTGTAGACGGTCCCTGCGCCTAGAGACCAATGTTATTTGCATGGAGTGGAGGACGGCTCGCTTTGATTAAAAATAGGGCTGTAGCTTGTTGTCTATCTTACTACGATGCTAAAGAGATATCGTTTGTGTCTTAACAACGTTTCGCTTATACGTTATTGATCCAGAAATTATGAATCCGTATATATTTTTCCAACTTTCCCAAAGTATATTTCCAATTGGACACGACAGGTACATTGTCATTCATTCTAACAGTGCACTTTCGGAGTGAAAGATGCCAGTGCTGCTCAAACATACCGACTCCTGCTCCAGCCGCTGAGATTTCCTCCACAGTGACTGGATACTTATGGATTCCAAGGCTTCGTCAGTAAACATGCTAATGGATCTAGTTTAAAGAAAAGGCGAACGGTTAATATTAACTAAATAAACTAACTTGAGACAATGAGTTTTTAAATTCCAACACGTCGGTTATTTTAGTGCGCCACACTCCACACAGTGGTGGTGGCCTTAGCTGTTTCACTAGCAACTAAACTAACGCATCCATGAGCTA